AATTGTAGAGATATGACCAGGAATTATCAAAGGAAACTTTTGAGGAAAAATGAATGACTCTCCAATGCCCTGAGATCTGCTGTTCTAAAATAAAGAAACAATTCCCACAGAATAAATGGAGTTAACCCCAAGGTAGAGTGGAATAATGGTAAAATATTCCTCATGCTAGAAAGCTCCAAAATGTCTGAGGTAATCAGTTTTTAAATGGTTGAAATGTGGGGAAAGAAAGCCTTGTGGCAAATGAATTTTGGGAGGAAGWGCAGCAGAACTCAATAGGCTCCATGGTGGTCAGAGATGACCATGAYCCCATCTCAAGCTGAAATATATATGGCTCAGAAATAAGTATAAAGACATGGCCAAGTCACTAGGATCCCAGTGGGGCATGCAGCAATCTCAAAGAGCAGCTGATCTCTCATGGTTTTACCCACTGGCCTTGTCCACTGCTGGGAAGAAGCAAACACAATGGCTGTTCCACGTTGTGCCCCCCTGCACCTTTCACACACAGGCATGTGCACACATACAAACATTGTGCACATTTTAACAGACGTGCTTATTAATATGAACCTCAAGGCATACTGTGAATTCCAGAGGTTTTTATGAAGATCCACATCAAAAGGGAAATAGGGATGAAATATCACAGAARGTCACTGTGCATGAGTGGAGAATAGCAGTTGGGAACTCTTGTTTGCCAGGCACATGCACAGAAAGCCTCTGCCTCTCCCAATCACACACGGCAGGGAGAAAGACAAATAATACCAGCTCCTTTTGCCTTTCCAAAGAAGGTTGTGATAGCTTTTTTTAGTGAGATTATGCCACAGTTGTTGCACTTGTAAGGATTGTTTTTCTCATGAGGCAAGAAAGGTCAAAAGAAATTAATAGCCAAGATAACAGTTATCAGTCTGATGTAAATAAAGTAGCGTATAACATTTGCAATGCACTACAATCTGCAACAGATAAAGGACTCTAAAGCCAAATGAGGGTTTWAAAGGAAGCTGATATTGGAAATATCTACTCTGTAAGTTCTCTTTTAAGCAGATTACTGGGACACAGTTGCTGTTTGTAGGTGTCGCAGCTGAAGCAGCRTTGCCACTGAAGCTTAGAGTAAGGACATCACTCACCCAGCTCAGCRTCTCCATTGAATGGCTCAGATGAGATCCAAAAGCCTCATCCATGTCCTCATACAACAGGGACAATGTTTTAATCCTGTGATACCACAGGGCCAGTAACTCGTAGGTAAGAGGCATTCTACAAAGATCTCCCTTGCCCACATTGTTGCTTTTCCCAGGACTCTTCTTCATTTTAACCCAGCAGAGAGCACCACCAATGTGTTTGACTTTGTAACTCTCCAGACACCTACATTCCTGTTTTGCGTTTCAAAATGTCAAAGTGGCTCCTTCGTTTTGTGACTGTGACACCAAAATAATTTTATTAGTTCTGCCCAAATTCCCTTGGCAGCCTGTTTCAGTAAGGCACAAATCAAGTGTGCAGTAAGTTCTATACAACACACAGAGACACACACTCCTCTAAGCCTCTTGTGAGGTGCCTCTAGAGCTGGGGTATGAAGAAGCTGAAGGCAAGAGCCTAAGCACTGCAAGGGGTGAATTTCAGGCATAAGCTATTCCTACTGATTAGGAACAGCTATCCCAAGTGATGTGTTTTCACACTAGTCATAGGAAATAAACTTTGCATTCCAAGCAGAGTTGGTCATCAGAAATGTAAATGTCACAGGACCTGATTTCCACTGCTGAATTTCTTCATAGGARTTTGGTCTCATAAGCCATGTTTCAGCAAAAGTGTTCTGAATGGCCAGGATCATTTCTATCACTTTTCAAAACCTTAGCTCACCATTAGTCCTATGACTTTAAACCATCTGACATACAGTGATACATGTCCCAGTTTCATCTGGAATAGAGTTAATTTCTTCTCAGTAACTGGTACAGTGCTGTGTTTTTGGATTCAGCATGAGAATAATGTTGATAACACAGATGTTTTGGGTTTTTTTTTTTTTAGTAAACTGCTCTTATCTCACCTACAAGTYTTAGTTTTGATTCTCCTCCCCATTCCACTGGGCTAGGAGTGGGGGAGATGGCTATGTGGTGCCAGCTCAGTTGCCAGCTGGGCTGAAACCACAGGAGCATACCAGCATAATTTTTGCTTTGATTGGTTTAGTTCATTTCCTTAAAGATATTAAATCTCTTGCACAAGTGCCTCTCTTCTCTGATGAATATTTTCCCACAGTAAACCATTCATTCTTTCTTGCACACACTTCCAGACTCCTCTTAGACATGTTCTGTTGTCTGGATTTGGGTTTTTTCCTTATATTTCAGTCCCACGTTCTAGGATCACTACATGTTTCCAATGATCACAAGATATCTTTTTTTTTTTCTTTTTTTGACATCTTTATTTGCAACAGTAGTGTGAGATACAGTAGAATACATGTGGGAACAAGATAACCAGGTATTATTTTATAGTATATTTTTTTCAGTAGATTATTCCAAATATTATGTATGGAAGATTTAAGTTCTATTACATTAGTTCTGATATCACGGTGACTAAGCATTTAAACAATAAGCAGTCTTGTGGAAAAATCCATGTACACAGTTTGCTTTACCTCATTTGTCCTAAATTTTAGACTGCAACAAAATGACTTAGATCATACAAGTGGGTAGCAAATACTTCATTTTATATTTACATATTGTCTATTTAGAAAGTCCTTGAGAAACTTAGATACACACAGGCTGAATTGAGATACAAAAAAATTGTGCACGGTGTTTTCACCTCTCACCTTGAAAAAAAAAAAAACGACTCACAATGTAAATTCTCACAYATTTTAATTGGATTAAAAATATTGGATGGTGTATAATGTCCTGAATGTGTTACACAGACAGCAGATAAGATGTTTCAGAGCACAGCAGCAACTGCTCTGCCATCAAGCACTAGAAAGGTAGATGGCCATCGAGCTCTCTACGCACCTACTGTGGCAATTATTAACAATCAGAAACGAAGSACATTTCGAAAAACTGATACGCAAATACACGTGACAAGCCCTAAACACCGCACAAGATGAATCTCACTCCTACTTCCACTGAAAGGTGGATCACTTCAACTGAAGGGTTGTGATGACACCTTGAATGCTGCAGGGTCTCTTTTTATTTTTTTTTTTCCTGAGAATAGTTAGAATTTGGGTGATGAGCTCCTCAGAGTACACACAACCTAAAAGGTGTTTGTGTGCGCTTCAATGGAATCACCCTTGGCTTCCATGCTTTCTTTTCTGAAACCCAGAGATTTAATATTATGAATGTGATTGTTAAAGTGCAAATACAGCATTGAAAACAATTGTGCCATCATGTAGGAGTGAGACTCATCCAAGRTTTTGAGGCTTCAAAATGATAACAGGCCTGGCAGATTTCTGTGACATCCATCCACCATCACAAACAAAAAAGAACATTTCCCAYCAAACCCAAGAAATGTTTTAAGAGCACCTCAAGTATGTTATGAGGTGCAATATAGAGCTGAAGAGCTTTAGAACATAAATCTCACTCAAACAGTATCAAAGTACATATTTTAAAAAATATTGAAGCACAAGTATTTTGAATGCATAAAAAGGTCATGCTAGTCTATTATTTAACCAATGTAACAAACTATTGTACAGTGATGATACCGTTGCAAACAGAGCTCATGCYTGTGCTAAATGAAGTCCTAATAGATGCTGAAGAGTGATGTTCCCTTATGTGAATGGAGATCTCTTGTGGTGGGGCACAACCACCTGTGATACTCCTAAGGATTTACTTTAGGGTGGACCATAAACCTCAAGTTGAATGAATCTTCTTCCAAAATTAAGTATCCTGCTGAAAGCCCCTTATTTTAGAAAAGACATAGTGAAGTGCTTGAGAGAAGCCWTCAGGCCCCAAAAATGCTCAGGCTCATTTCCACTGTAGTCAACGACAAACTCCTCCATCCTCAGAGTCTCAGTGGGATAAGAAGCAGCCCTACCACAATTTGCTTTCCTGCTAATGTTTAATGACACAGCATCAACCTTTACAGTCTGGTGGTCTCTATTTCAGTTTCCCTTCTTTTCTCAGATCTTTTCAAAAGTCTCAGGACCTTACCTTCAATGTTCTCTGAGAGAGAAGTTCTGCTGGTTCTGGGACTGGTTCTGAGTGTTTGCCACACTTCCTTAATACAGAGGAAGTTTCAGGAAAAGGATTCTCCTAACAGAGGTGTCTGGTGCTATGCTCACATTATGCTCACCTCAGCAGCAGAATCAGGCTGGGTGAGGAAAACACACATCAAGCCATTTGTGTAAAGGACCCTTAAGCATAAAACAAATCACAGCTTCTTATTTAAATAACACAGTACCATGCAAAATTCACAAATTAAGGAGTGTCTTTAAATGCAAAAAATGCAAACCTTTGCTTAAAAATCCACCAATTCTATGTGTATTATGCTTTGCCTTTTTAAGCCATGCAAAAGGTTTAACCAAAGTGTCCCTTTAACAAATACAGAATTGGAATTATATATAAAAAATAAAGTCAAAACAAATGCCGAAATAAATCCCCCAACAAGTTTTGATCTTTCTCATTGAATCTATTTATCGTGGCATTTATCCACCTGATCAGAGGTCTAACACCACACCTGTGTTGCCCTTCCTTGGGACTCTTAGACCTTGCTGTGGGAAGGAGCTGTTATCTGCAGTTTGACATTGTCCCCTGCAGGTCCCCAGCCACGCTCACGCCCTTGAACYGTGATGCTGTCCCTGTGTGGAGGCACAGCCAAGGACAGATTTCAGCTGTTCCACCAGACTGCCATGCTGCCACAGGTACATGATGGGGAGCGTTTCTGGGGGGACAGCCCACGTGTCAGCATGTCAGGGACAGTGGGGCTGTCCCTGGGTCACACAAGGAAGCCCTGTCCTGTGCCCCTGTGTGCTMTGTGCTGTGCCTGGCTGGAGCACGGGAGAGATCACGGTGCAACTGCAAATGCATGAAGGGGTTGTGAATCTCAGGCTTGGTGCGGGGAACTTGCTCCACACTAACAGGGCTTAAGACAAGAGAAATGTGAAACTTGGAAAAGGACATGCTGGGATTGTGCAGTGCTGCAGGCTGGGATACTAGAATTGCCCTTGGATCATAGTGCACAGATTTGAGGGTTGTAGTGGTTTATTATCTCATTAGAAAACATCTAATTCCCTGTAATAAAGATTCCATGTAGAGTACGTCAAAGAACAGACCAGGCTAATGCAACCCACAGTCAGGACTAATACTTTTTTCCCTCTCTTATTGCTAAATAAGCAGGGGTAGMTTTTCAATTTAAAAATAAAAACTATGTAATTACAGTAATAATACCATGCTMCTGACTGCTCTGCAGCTGCCTATTGTAAAACTCAAAGCCACTGATCAGAAACAAAAGCAGTAAGTCGGTAATGGCTTTACAGAAATGTTCTGCTGGGGTGATTATGTCTGGCAAAATACTTCTATAGGGGAAAGACTGTTTACCAAACACATTTCATGTCCTTTTCCCCCTAAAATACCCTGCAAGCAATTWAACCTTTTTCTAACAACAGATAAAGAAACCTTTGCCAGAGGTGTAATATGACTATATGAACACTGGAACAAGCAAGGATCCTGTTCAAATAGTTAGGCATCAGTTACAACAAAAAGCCAGAAGCAGTCATATTTTTATCATCTGTTATAAAAAAAATATTTCCCAATCAGTGTCTCAATACAGTTAAAAGTTAAAACCCCTCTACATCACTAATAAATTAAAAAAACCCTATCTCCAACCATCTTGTAAGAAAATAGGTAAGTAATTTAAACCTTTAGTTYACATAAATTAGCACAGAAAAGTGTATTCTAACAAGTGCACTGAAAACAGATATGCCTCCTTTTCTTCTGATATCTCTTATTTGAGTTATTAAGTAACAGGAAAGCCTTTATAYTCTTTGCATGACCTTGAGAGTCTGCTAACACTAAATGGTCAATAGTCAAACCCCAGGAGAATGTTTCACCAGATAGACAATGACAAGAGGGAGGATGAAGTACAATCAACTGSTTTGCAGCCTTATTACTGTACACTTCAACATTCCATTTCAGCATATTTACTCTTGGGGATGAAAGTAATGTATTTATATGGCAAATCACATGAACAAAATTTGATGGGTTGATAGAATTTTTTTTWAAAAGCTGTTAAAGTATCATTTTTTCAGAGGTAGTTTGCAAGGCAATAGTGACTCCCTCACTTGACTGTGGATAAAACTCTTAAATAGTGCTGGTGCAGTCCCTGAACCTCGCAGAGAAAGCTTAATGGGTAAGATGTTATAATCAGAGCTGACAACAGCCAATTAAGTGTCAGAAGAACAATCTGATAAGTAGGTCTTCATGTCTATAGGCATTTCCTGATATGTCTTAACTGTCAATCTGAATGTAACACATCTCTATCTTTATCTCACTATTGACTGACTTATTAAAGGAGAATGCTTCCATCTCTTTTTTTGACTTTGGGGTTGCTCCAGAAAGAAGGAAAGGAAAATACTAGGAACAAGTCTAAATTTGGAATAATAGATGGGGAATCCTAATTGTAGCAAAGTCCTAATCTTCCAGCTGAGCAGGCGTATGGTTTGGCGACACCACTCCATGCAGCTGCCCCCTCCATACCTTTCAAAAAGTGGAAGATGCTCAGTCTAGAGGAGATCTGTTTCTTTAATGGGTGGAAGGATATCTGTGGACGTGCTAGCAGGTTGCTCTCTGCTTTCAGTGCTTCTTGCTAGTCATACAGAAGACAACACCTCGCTGGATGGATCTCTTCCCTTCTTGTCYTCACCCCTGTCGATATCAATCACATGAACTATGCCAGGCTTCAGGATCAGGTCATCGGTCTCCACGTGGCTCCTGTGGTCATCCACCTCGATGTATTTCCCCTTGGAAGGCTGGGTGGCCTTGCCGAAGACRTCTTTGAAGCGGCGCTTGAGCTCAACATCGGGGCAGTAGACGTACTCGTAGAGAGCACCRGCAAGCACCGCGCCGATTATTGGTCCCACCCAATACACCTGCAAAAAAAAAAAGAGGTGGAAAAAAACCCAGCTATTAAGCTTTTAAATTAGCAGCGGTAAGAAGGCTGACAAGCAGGCCCCCGCCTTCAAAGTGCAGTAATTTTGTCAGTTTTTGCTTGTAAGTTTTATTGATCTATCTCTTTTACAGGAGGCCTCCTCTAAACTTCCCCTCTCTCATTGTCCACTGCAGACCACACATATGGACTGTTGGCAAGAAGACACATAGAGGAAACACACAAAGTTATTTTCTTTCTGCATTTTGAATCAGGACAACACTGAACTTTCAACAAAACAAAACCCTTCCTAGTGTAYACATAAAACAGTTCTGCTTTGATATTTCAACTAACGTTTCCAAAATATTTGGAATTTAGCATTTAATCCTGCAGAGTACAACAGGCAGTCAACTACAACAGGCAGTCCGATAATCTAATTTGAATAAGCAAATACAATGGACAACACAACTTTGTAGGTACCTATCTATTTCATCATGACATGCAGCAGTTCAGTAACATTAGCAGGTGTCAAAGCCCACAGGCTCCCGTCAATGGCATGCCAATGTCACTGCTCTGGAGGAGGAGAAAAGGCTGCCTTTCCCAGTGGCCAGGACAGTGACTAAGCTTCTCCTGCAAGTTTCTCCATGGTACATTTGTTTATTGTTTATAGCTTTAGTTATAAATTACAGGCTTCCTCAGAGTATGGATAATTAATCTTGTGAAAAGCCACAGCAGTTTTTCTTATGAACAAGCCWTTCACTGATAACTGGGTAAATCTGCCTCAATAGGATAACTCTTGGGAACAAAGTTACACATGGTATCGTGTTTGCAGAATTGAAGCCTTAGGGCCTGAAGACAATGCTATTTCTATTATTAGCTGCAGTGGGAGCAATGTGGGCTTCATACTTTAAAAATCAAGAAAATCCTTATATGCACTGTTATATGCAGCTCTTCCAGTTGGCACCGAAAGTGTCCCTAGAAGTGATTTCCCTGTCTGTAATTAGGTGAGGCTGAGCTGCGATCCATYGCTCCCCTATCAGAAGTGAAATTTGTTTTTCCAAGTTGGATAGTSGGATGCTACAGAAATTTACTGCATCATTCACAGCCTGTTTATAACATCGTTTCCTGTGCAACTGCTCCTGGTTAAGCTGAGGCTTTCAAACTGAAGCAGGCAACATCTGGCCTGGTCTGCAAATACCAGACTGCAACCTCTTCATCTCTCACTTCAGGCATTTGCCAAGGCAGGTTCTCCCCCAGGAACAGGATCAGAGAGTGTCCCTGCTCTCATTTGATACATCTGCCCCAGTTTGCAGCAGAACCAGGTGAAACATGAAGTCGACAGAATTGTTTCCATAACTCCTCACCAGCATGACCAGCGGGGTTTGCAATCTGCCTTGGAGGATTTTTCCTTCCAGCAGTTCAGTTCTTTCTGTCTCACTGCATTGCTTTATTTTTGTTTGTTTTGAACTTCTCATACAATTTTCTTTCCACCCAGCTACTACCTCCACAGAATGGCCCCATAATAGTTAGAAGCTATTCCAACATGCTGCATGCTGCACTGTAGTCCCAGCTGAGGAGCATCATGATGCCTAAGCTTGGGGCAGGTCAGTGCTTGTCTTTCTCAGTGATGTTCTCTATGGGATGTACCGGGAGAGACAACTAAAAACAAAGGATGTATGAAAAATCCTGATCACTCTTTGTCACTGTGGTGAAGGAAGAATGAAAGGAGAGTTACCCATTGGTTTTCCCATCTGCCCATAATGACAGCAGGTCCAAATGATCGAGCTGGGTTCATGCTGGCACCGGTGTAATTGATCTGAAGCAGAGAGAAAATGTTGCCTGTTATTATAGTCTGGAAGGCAGGGACACCCTGGTTTTGTAGGGCTCCTCCTCTTTACAGCAGATATCATCACTCTCCTGAGTCTTAGCAATAAGTTAACAAAGTCATCAGATGAACAGCCAGAACKGTTCTGGTGTAACACCCTACCCAAGGGGACACTCCTGAGACTCCAAAGGGCTTTGGCATGGATCCATAAAGAATAGAGCAGCCATATAGCTATAACTACTCTAAAGGTCACAAAAGTCTCCATTCACTTCTGAAGCAGTCATAAAGGGTAAAGGGATCTATTTATTTTTTTAAAGAGAAACCATTAACTTACAGCAAATAAATGTCCAATTGCAACAGAAAATCCAATTGCTAAGGCTACTGAACCAGTGACATCACTTCGTTTTGAATCACAGCTAGCAAAAATYGTAAAAACCAGCTGGAATGTAATTATCAACTCCACCAGGAGTCCATGACCAGCAGAAAGATCTCTGTGTACCTGGAAGAAGGGAAAGAAACACCASCAATGAAGAAAAGGTGATTTTGTAAATCAGAAAGCCACCATATGCATAAATTGTGTTTCAGTGAATGGTATTTCTGAATACTACAAAATGAAAAATAACAGTGAACTTCTAGAGGTACAGAATTCGCCCACTTCACTATTCTTCCTTTATTTTTTTTACACTAATTATTTTTATTTTTATTTTTATTTTTATTTTTATTTTTATTTTGAGAGCCATGGAAGATCACTGCTGAACTGAGAACAGAAGGCTTAACAGTAACATCCAACTGGAACTTCAAAGTTAGACTGCAGAAGTATAGTTTATTTTTACACTGGGATTTGCAAATGCTGCACTTCCCTTTCACAWTTTTTTTCTTGGGAGCACAGTAATTTACTATTCAATTATAAATTCATTAATTAGCCCTGACTTAATTAATTTAAATTTCAATTAAAAATTAAGCAGTGTGCGGCTCAAGTGCATTTTTAATAAGTCCTGCAACAGGGCTAACTGATGGCATTCCTTATTAGTTTAGAACAAAGCTGAAATCTAAGCCACAATCTATTTCAAAAGTATGTCATTTTAAATTGATGTTTTTTCAATCCCCATCATAACAGCATGGAATTAATTCCYCCCCTCCCCAGACCATACAAAAATGGCATTTCATGCATATATTATTTAAATTTTGTATGTAAATTAACATTACCTGCTGTCATCAGATTTGGGGAAGTTCTAGGAAAGAGAGCTTCTATAAAAAGAACWGCTATAGCAATTACACCGCATAAACCCATCCTAAGGAGAGCTTTAAGCCCTGTCTGGATGTTGTAAATAAACCAGCAAGCTGTTAAAATCTGTACCTGAGCTCTCCTCATTGTGTGTGGCACTGATTCTATTTTCTCRGGGTCTGAGCTAGTCTAGTTGGAGAGGCAGAGGAGAAGTGATTACCGCAGTGACTCCCAGACCTCCCACCACGCTGGGCGGYGTGACGAGGTAAAGGATGCCCGCACCCACGATGGCTCCCAGGCACTGGGCCAGGATGTAGAAGACGGATTTGGCAAGGCTGATCTTCCTGGTGCACACCATGGCCACGGTCACGGCGGGGTTGATGTGGCCTCCGCTGATGTGCCCGAAGCACTGCACCATGGTGGCGATGCTGAGTCCAAAGCACAGCGAGATCAGGACCATGTCTACAGGCAGGGGCTTCTCTGCTCCACCCCAGTTGATCGTGGAGCCCAGGCTGAGGAGGACAAAAATGAGCATGGCCAGGAATTCTGCCGAAACGGCCTTCCAGAAGGGCTGAGTCCAGACTCCTTTAAAGGCCACCATAATTCTCTCACACTTACACAGACGTCCACACTTACTGAAAAGGAAAGCAAATCTTCATCAGAAGTCACCAAATAAACCTTATGCTTTCCTGTCAGGGGTTGTTCTTCAGCGGGCTTCAGAGAGAAGGAGGCAACACTGAGTATCCTTGGGCTGGGACAACCACAGCCTACCCTCTTAGAGCAGACTGTCCTTAAAGAGTGCCCAGCGTTGGAGTATCTGCAGGGCACAGGGCAATTAATCACTCCTTTAATAACTCTGTATAGTGTCAGCTCCCAAAAAGCAACGTCTGTGCATTTTGAAACGATTATGAAAGTAAGCGTACTCTTCTATGCTAGCCGGCCTCTGATTTAGAGGCTGTACAGCTCTACCACTTCCAGTGGCTTGTTGATCATCATGTTCATTAGATCAGTAAGTATACTCATTTTCTATGCAAATATGTACTTTTCACAAAGCAGGTGAGATAATTCAATAAAAAGCAGTATCTTAGTTGACRCCTAGTGATTTTGATGACAGCACAGTGTTGGGAAGTTGCCCTGGGAGCTAGAAGAGAAAGTTTRTTTGCTTGAAAACTCACAGAGACCAATATTTCAATTTATATTTATGCAAAGAGTGGTTTCTTTGCTGTGGATGTTAGGTGAAAATTGAATTCAGGCAGGGGAATAGATGGAATCCTACATTCTGACCTTTAAATCAATCGTGTAATCAATAAAGTACTTCCTTTTGGGCTAATGGCGCCGATTGAGCTGGAGAATAGAGCAATATTTTCTGTATGTGTGGTGTTAAAACTCTGCATGGCAAGGAAAGAAGTGTCTTGGCTTTTCTTCCTGTCTGGAGATGTTATTTATTAGTCTACACTGCCTTCCTGATGAGTTACAATTTTGCTAGATGTTCAGATACCTATGAAAGTGGGTCACCAAAGAAAAGTTATTTGTGGTATTAATAAATTAGGAGAATRAGCCAAAAGGGAAGCATTTTAATTAGTTTCTAAGGAATGTTAAAAAGATTCTTCTCTAAAAACAAAAGCAAGAAACATCCAACCCATCCAAAAAGTAGAAAACAAAAGAGAATATTCAGCTGTTACATTTGGGAACAGAATTTCAAGTGGAAGATGGATGAATTTATGCTCAGTTATCTAAGGTAACTGAGCTACAATGCATATTTAATACGAGTTACATCAGAAAGAAGCATAAAAGGCATGYCTGCCCTTTTCAAGTCACTGCAAGAGGAATGGCCCATGAATTTCTTAACAGTTCCAGTGAGTTTTGGAAAAGCAATTTAATCCTGTGACTGAAGCAAGTAAGTTGTTTCCCTGACTCATTTCCTATGCTAATTTGCTCTGTTTTTTGGATAGGCCTTTTGAGCTCTATCTCAGTTCTCTAGACTCTCAGATGAGAACAAGAATTACATTCTCTCCTAAAAATGGCTCTTGTAGAGAGCTTGTGAAGTGATCTGAGGCACTTGAGCAAGTTTTTTTTGACACTTTTTCTACTAGAGAAGTGAAGCCAGAACGTCAAAAGAGAATAAAGTCACATCCCAAATCTTCTGATTTTAGGTTGAATTCAAGCTAAATGGAAAGATGTTTTTGTAAAATCTCATATTAACAGTTTGTTAATGACCAACCACCTAGACTAAACTTTTTGTACAAAATGAACCCAAAATCATTGCTTCCCTCAAAGCTGAAGCTCACAGGTATTTGGTTGTTCCTACCTTTGAACCCTATGCCCAGATTCACATTGAAACTTAAAGGCTTACCTCTGTCACCCTTACATCTTCCTCACTAATAATTTATCTTGCTGACCTAAGACATAGGTGCTATATCCATACTGAGAAAAGCTGATTTTCCCAGTTCCCTGGGCACATTCCAGGAGAACATAGGGATGACACATATYGTGAAGCCCAGGGAAGAGAAACCTGGGTTCACAGACCAGGGAAGCAGCACTCATCTACTCTTTTATCCCTCAGCTCAGCTGGGATGCAGCCTGGATTTCCCTRACCAAAAGGTGTCATATTCAAGAGTTTTGAAAAATTTCCAACCACCAAGGGCACTGTGGGGGGAATGTAGGTTTATGGAGCATTGGTGACTCCTGATATCTTTGTCCAAGTGTGCCTAACCATCTCTTCCTGTACTCAGAGAACAGTGAGATCAGCAAATCAATTACACACCTTCATCCCAGAAAGTGGACAGAAAAAGGTGTATTTGGCATTAAGATCATGCAGTTGGCTTCTCGCTAGTTGTGGAACACCTTGGAAAATCACCCTAACAGTGAGCATATGTGCACGTGCATGTGGAAGATCACACATTCTACCGTGGGCCTGCCTAAAAGGAGGTTACCACTATGAAGGGCAGATCTCATACTGYTTCTCCAGCTGAGACTACATTCAGTCAATTCACTCAATAATATTTGCAGCCCTGAAAATTTAAAAATGCTGCATGCAAGYCAAAAGCTTCAAACACAGAAGATGGCTTACCAACATAAGCTTTTGTTTTTCTAGAAGATCCTGCTACATAGAACTCCTCTGTCAGCTATACTGACAATTAATGATCTAAACATCTATTTTTAATCCAAACATGGGTTTTTTTTGAGCAGTCTGTTTTTCTATGATTTCAAAACGAAGCAAAATGCTCAGCTCTCAGGGCCAAATTTTTCTTTCAAACCGCACACCTTTCCTCCCTGCAGCAAAAACCTCTATAAATGTTAATAAAAGCTTAATGTGKGGTTCAGCCTTGATCCAGGCTTTCACTTAAATCCAAAGGCAATCAGCAACTTAGAAATAAAAACCATCTCAAACATCCACTGTTTGTTCAGCATGTGGTTAAATTTAAGGGCTGGAGATGAGACTGAGTGATGGCTGTGACAGGTCTGAGACTAAAATGGCACCTCTTGGCAGCTAAGATTGCATCAAAGTTGCAAAACAGTTTTTTTTTTTTTTTAATAGTTGTTGTTCATGGTTTCTTTAGATAAATCGAAAATACAACAGAAAGACACTTTCATGTTGTGGTCACACATTAATTTCACGTGTGGCCACACTTGAAATTCTCTGGTCTGGACTAGAAGATTACACAGTAAATTGTGTCTGATAGGATGCAAGGTGGGTTTTGCAGATCATGTTGCCAGCAAAGCTTCAGGCACGGTCGTGGCTTCAAAGCCATAACAATATAAATCGTAACAAAAGTCAAGCAGTATTTTAAAAATTCTTCCTTTTCTAACTAATGTAATTTCAAGMAGCAGAGCACATATCCCAGACACAGGCTTGCAGCCAGCCACTCCACTCGACTCTGCTGTCACACACAAGTTGTGTGCGTGCAGTGGCTATTTACAGTGGCATCTCCCCAACAAACTCCCACACTGCCCGACCTGAGCTGGCACCGCCGGCTGCAGCTCAAATGGACATCGGGCACCTGCCGGCCMGCTTTGAGGGAGGAGGGCGACAGCCCACTGTTGCAAAACAAATGCACTGTCGCAGAGCTTGCTTGTGACCATTCCCCCTCATTTTCCAAAACGATGTCAAATGAGCGACTGGCACGGGTATCTACAGGAGTGGCGAGCCTCGGGAGCTCAGTACCGCAACTTTTATAACTGTGTGGGACTGGGCTTTCTGCACGCACGACTCTCCACTGCAGGACCGCAAGCGGACAACAGAACAAAGTTTTAACATGCGGAAAGAGAGAAGGAGTTTGCTTCTCTCTGCACCCTTCGCACCTCTGATGTTAAAACCCCAGAGCAACCGATAGGCTTCGGCAGTGCCCTCGGGAAGGGGGAGCCGTTCGGGAAGGGCTGCGTTTCGCTGCCATCCCTCGGAGCGAAACGCAGCAGAAAGGCAACAACGCGGAGCCCCACACCTGGCTGTGCCCTCCTGCCGGGCCGGCCAGTCCCCTCCGCGGCCGCGCAMCCCYTCGCCGCAGCTCTCCCATAAAGTCATCTTTGCTCTGGGGGGGCTGTCCCGCCCGCCTGTGCCCTGCCTGAGCCCTCCCTCCCTCCCTCGCTCCGCGGAGGGCCGCGCACTCACCCGCGGCGCGGAGCGGCCGCTCCGTCGCTCATGCCTCCCCGGCGGGCACGGGCACGGGCGAGCGGCGGGGCCGGGGCGGGGGCCGGGATCGGGATCGGGATCGGGGCCGGGAACGGGGCCGGGGCGGGGGCGGGACGGCTCCGAGCGTGCGGCTGTCGCTCCGCGCTGCCCTCCCTACCTGGAGCGCTCGAGGAACGGCGGCCGGGGCAGCGGCTGCGGGTCGGCTGCGGTCATGTGCCTCTGCGGAGCGGCGCAGGGGGGTCCGGCTGCCCGGCGGGGACAAGCGGCCGGGGCCGCGGAGAGAGCGCTCTGCTGCTGCCCGACTCAAAGGCTTCTCAGTTTCTTCTCTGCCGCTCGCTGAATTGAAGGGAAAAAAAGCCCTAGCAGCTCTGCAGCCAGGGAGTTTTATCCATCTTAAATGCCTTGCTAGAATTCTACTGGTTACAAAATCATAGAATCATAGAATATCCTGAGTTGGAAGGGACTCCCTAGGATCGAGTCCACCTCCTGGCTCTGCACAAGGCAGCCCCAGGAATCACACCATGTGCCCAAGAGCATTGATCAAACCCCTCTTGAGCTCTGGTGCTTGGTGGTGAATTGTTGTCACTTGTTTGGTGAATCTGTTCCACTGCCAAACTACCCTCTGGGTGAAGAGCTTTTTCCTAATATACAACCTAAACTTCCCGTGACACAGTTTCACCCTGTTCCCTTGGGTCACCATAGGGAAGAGATCAGTACCTACCTCTCCACTTGCCCTCATGAAGAAGCTCTAGGMTGTGATGAGGTCTCCCATCAGTCTCCTTCAGGCTGAACAAGCCAAATGACCCCAGCCACTCTGCATATGGCTTCGCCTCTAAACCCATCACCATCTTTGTAGCTCTCMTTTGGATACTTTCTAATACCTTATATAATTCTTATGTTGTGTTTTGTTTGTTGAAGTTGCTAAATTCGATGAAGTTTTGYCTAGTGTGGAATGCCAAATGGAGGCCACTGGAAAATACTGTTTAAATTAGACCATGATGGTGT